TGTTTGAAATTTTCAAATAAATGATGATGGTATAACAATTTAAAAAAAATTTTTTATAACCACATTTAATCTTAAGCAATTTTTCACCGTACAATTGATTTTTTTTCCTTATTATTTACTTTAATGAATTAATTTGTTCTGCAAACTACTATTATAAAATATTTAAATTTTGTTGTTGTTATAATTATTATCTATTTTAATTTAATATATGATATATTAAATGATATGTAAGAATATATTATCCGGCGAACTATTGCTGTAAAAAATTGAAATTATTTCACAATTGCTTGAATTTAGAAACAGCATATACTTATTTATTTGTTTATTTGTTTACTTAAGGAATAAGCAATGCAATTGAAACCGTTGTTAATTGCACGGAAAAAAGTGGTACAAATGCGTGTTATACGTGTATGGGCAGAGATATGGAAAATTGTCAAACAGGAACCGTTTGTTGCAGTGGAGCATGTTTTAAGCTTATCGATGAAAGTTGGTAGCATTTCTTTTTTTTCCTTTTTTTAAAAAAAAAAAAACGACTAAAAATTGTATTAGAAGGTGAAGTGGAAAAATAAGTTTGTTCATTAAAAAATTTTTTTTTCCTTACAAATGTTATATATAATTTTTGATTTCATTTATTAATATCTTTTCCTTCTCCCTTTTCTTTTCTTCCTTTCAAACAAAATAACTGCAAAAAAAAAAAAAAAAAAAAAAAAAACGATAATGAAGACAGTACAACTGTAAAATATGATTGATGATGATACTTTCTTCATTAACGAGAAGTATATTATCTTATAAAGAAAGATTTCGGAGTAAAATGATTGAACTGATTTATAGAAAAGTTAGGTAAATACAATTTAGTGATAAGATCAATAAGTTTAAATAAATTATCAGTTTCAAACATTACCAAATTGATGGAAGACAGAAATTCTATTTTTTTTTTCTGGATCATAAAGATGAATGATTGACATGTTTAATATTAGTAATTGTCACCTGGAGTATATTTGAACAAATGATTTGATTAAAACGGATTGAGCAAACGGATGATATCGTAAGCCTTCTTAGGAATTTTTTGCAGGATGATCGACTGCATCCGTCTTGCAATATCTTTATCATCAACAAATATATTGCAATGGACAAATAATCATACTTTTACCAGTTTTAAAATTTAATCCAGAAAAAGCGCTTAAATAAAGCATTGTAAAAATCTATTTAGTTTAATAGTGTAACAATTTTTTAAAAACTAGGAATTTTATTCTTTTTATTTTTTTCCAGTGTTTATTTTATTTTTTAGCCAATTCAAAAATTGTGATGTTTAAATCTAAAAAACACTACCTTTCCCTTTCCTTTTTTTTTGAAATTTGCAGAACACAATCTGATAATGAAAGGCTGCACAAATGAAGATCAAGAAGATGGTAGCATGAAAAGACGAACATTTGATATACGATTATATTGGGTACGCAATGAAAAAGTTACAGGTATTTTCTCTCATATCCTTTTTTTTTTTTTCTTTTGAAGTTTTATCGATTATTTATGAGAAAATTTAAAGAAGTTTTTAAATAATACATGTAAAAAATCTGAAAGAAGGATGAACGAAGTATTTCAAATTTTTAATAAATCGATATTATTTATGAGAAAATTGCATAAATTAATTATTCGAGAAAGGAATATATTATTGGAAGCTTTATGCAATCTCATGAGATGCTTACTACATTAATTAATTAATTCAAGCTGAGGTACTCACTTAAATGTATTTCTATCTTAATCATGTTTGAAATATTTTTTTTTTTTTTTGAATAAGTTGAGATAGAATTCAAATTTCTAAAAATTAAAATTTTGGAGAAAAAAATTATCAAATTAAAGTCTTATAAATATTTAAATCAAACTGTCTATTACAGGAGAAGCATTTTATTGTAAAGGGAGTGATTATTGCAATGCAACTTCAATAAAGTTCATTCCGTCATCCTTATTTTATTACATTTTGCTCAGCTTACTTGCAATTTTATCATTTTCTCAATCATAATGTTACAATTGCTAATAAGAGTTAATTACAGAATCGGACTAACTTTTCAACCTTTTATTTTTTTAGGTGAATTTTTTTTTCCTCATTGTATTAGTAAATTTGTAAGGCTATAAAATCATTGGATATGATTCTTATATTGATCATAAAGTGCATTAGCTATGAAATCAATCGTCAAACCACTTAATTTTAATCTGTCATTTGCTCCTTATTCTATCTAGGCTTAATTAATCAACAAATTACCTGTAGTATCACTTAAATTCAAATTAGGATTTCTAATACATTTCACGTTTTCATGCCAGTGTTTACGTCAATTTCTCTCTTGTGTATCTTTACATTTGAAATTATTACATAAATTTAATCAATCTTATTTCATCAAAATACCCATTTATTACGAAACAACATTCAATAGTGATATAAGCTTTTTCTTTTTCATGTTCATCTTAAACCATAAATTTTTTTCCAAATGACATCTGTCATCTAGAAAATTAATTTTTGAAAACTGTCAAAGGACATATGTACATTTAATTAATATGAATTAAGTAATAAAATATATAAGGATTATTATCACTTATAAATCTGACATTAAATACTAATGAAGGTTTTAATTTTTTCGTTCATTTTTTTTTTTTAACCGATGTTTACACAGGAAAAATTTTGGCTAAATAACAGATTAAAAGATGATAAGGAAAAGAGGATTAAATTGCGGAATTTCCAAGTTCTAGTTTTCTATTCAATCTAATAATCCTTACTTTTCTCTTTTAACATCAAGTTTTTGTTACGTGTCATTTTCAGTGTCTATTCACTGAATGAAATAATTGTGTCAAAAAACCTTCATAATTTGAGATCTCGTTGAAGAGTTTCACCAACTCAACTATACACTCTAATTCATTCCATCACTTTTAATCGTTAATGCATTTAAAAAAAAAGAAAACAGAAAAAAAAAACCATTACCTCAAATCATTTTGAAATATGACTCATTCATAGATTTAAATTTATCTCATTAAAGATGAAGTGATGAACAATACTTTATGCTAACCCAAATAATTGATAAATCTTGACAACTTCTTCTTTCCATTCTTATTACAATTAACTATTTTGTATCCAACAATTTTAGATTATAATCAAAAAATTATTGTTATTATTATTATTATTGCATGTTACACATAAATGGTTGGAAGATTCATAGGTAAAAAATTATCAAAAAAAAAATTTCTTTTCTAATATATTATTCATTACAATATGAATCATTCCTGCTGTGCAATTAATATTGATAACTTCTTATTACTGATTATTGATTAAATTTTTAAACGTATAATAATACGTCTATTATTGTTCATATTAAGTGGTGTGAAAATTACTCACTGCATTCATCATTGACAACTAAAATTCATCCAAGTTTAAGCTCTTCATACGTTATCTTTAATATGTTAGTTTCATTGAAAGTATGGTATTATTTCATTTAAATTATCATCTGATCTGCAGTATTTTCTCAGTCTAAGCATTTTTTTTTTCATTTATTTTATATTTTTTAAAAATGAAGGAGAAAAATTAAGTTATAAAAGATTTTTTAGAGTTCATTTATAACATGCTATATTATTTCATGAATTATAAAATTCATTTGTTTTATATGTTTTTATATGTATGCAATAGTGAAATAAATTTGAATAAAGCTTTAAATATTTACATATGTGAAATAAAATTTATGAACAAAGCTTTAAATATTTACATTCATTGATTTAATTAACAAAAATAATACAAGCGTCTTATTTCCAAATCTTCTCATAATTCATCATAATAAACGATGTTCATTCCAAAGCATTTAATAGATATGAATTTTTATAATAGCAATGAACTTACCCTTGCAACAAAAGATTTCTCATTTTGAAAATGCTACAACATTTCAAGGAATTTTAATGCCTGAAAATGGAAAAAAAGTGTTTACATACTAATAAAAAATTCAATCTATTGCTCAGTAATTATTTAAACTTCAAAATTATCAATAACTTGGTTGTTAGACAACGGAATGAGTCATACATGTTGACTGATAATTATCGAAAGTCATTCAATAAATGAACAGCAGTACAAATATAAAATTCTTTTTGTAAAAAGTTAACAAAAAGAGGAGCAGAACTCATGTGATATTTACCGCCAAAGTCAATTATTGACCTCAGTTCGCATATGCTAACCTTATTTATGCTTACCTAAAAAATGCATTATGCTGCTATCGCCAATAAAGATAATTGACGCCGATTGATAATGAGTATAGCTTAACAAAAAATTTACCGAATTCTCCCACCCAACTACTTTATTCTTTTTGTTATGCAACTCATCACCCTTTATTTTAACTATTCATAATATTCCACTGATATTCAAATGCAGTTGTTCGCTATCGTATTTAGACGCTATCCAATGGTATTCATCCAATACAATGAATTTTCCGAGTTTAATTTTATGAATACAAAAGCAATTGGATTTATTCCAAAATTAAAAAAAGAAATATGCATTAGTTATATACAAATACAGAAATGAATGATGGTGATTGTTATTAGGACGAATATCTGATTTAAATTCATCGAAATGCTTACATACAGCAGAACGAAATGAGGAAAGGCTTTGTGGCAATATCTGTATAATATTCATCAATTAAAGACAGATCGAAAGATCAAAAATAGCATTATGCATTTACTTTATAAAATCTTGAAAATCCTTTTTCAAAGTACACATTGTTACATTAAGCATGTATTTCAGAAACAAGTAAAACAATGCTAAAAAAATAGCAGAAATTGCAAATTAGTTTCTCATTGGGAATAAATCAAATTTGATTCGCTGAATCTAGAGGAAAATATCCAAATCTATTATGAAATGTCAAATCACAGAAGAAACTCTCGAAAATTGTTTTCGAAATGAATGACACAAAAATGAAACAAAACAAACAATTGAATATGGCATATTTTGTTCAAAAAAAAAAAAAAAACCCGTTCCTTCAAACATGATCTCTACGAGCAGCAACAATCTTCATATCAACAGGTGGTGCATAGCAGGCAAGTTCCTCATCGGATATAAGAAATGAAGTATCTAACAACTGATCTACAGCAAGTACTGTTGCTGTATCATTATCAATATGTTCTAATGGATGTATTCGATCTTCATTTTTATTCGTTGAATTAATAGATTCCGCTAGCCTTTCCTGACGACGACTTATTATCCTATCTACATCAATCTAAAATCCCTTAATTTGTTTTATATTTATAATATTCTTCTAAATAAGATAACCTTCTAAATAAACAATTATAATAGTATTAACCTCTAATTCCCAATTCAAAAGGATTCTTGTAGTTTTTGGAATGATTTTTGTGTTAATGCACTAATATATAAAAATACTACCTGTTCGATAATACCATCAAATGCCATATCCAGTGATCTGGGTACCAAATTCAACGAACTGACCGAGCTTTTCCACGCAATTTTATGTTTCCTAAATATATTATGTATATATAATCAAAAAAAGTAGAGAAAAATTTTCAAGTTGAGCTAAAATCTTTAAAAAATATAACAAAATACATATTTTTTGAAACATCCTATATTGCTGGCCCTCTTGAAGTCCAAAAAAAAAAAAAAAACATTAAAAAATATTAGATTTCAAAAAAATCACCTAAGAATATGTAAACAACTGAGGGTAAGCAAGGTGATCATAAAAAGCATTAAAAGAACGAAAAGAACAGCTGCCACAGCATAAAATATTAGCAATAAATCCATATGAACATTGTACTATCGTTAAACTGAAATATAAAACCGCAAGTGGCACACTCTTTTTTTGCTAATTCATGATTCAGGATTTCAGGCAATAACACATTATGTTTGTTGTTAATAAAAAATATTTTTATGCTAAACAAAAAAGATTTTTTTCTTATAAATGTTAGTGAAATGTAGGAATCGAACAGCTTAATTACCCATAAAGTACTCAATTGCTGTTATCATTTTTCGTACATTACTTTCTTTCACTTGCATCTATGACTACGACTATTTATCATTATCAACATTAGGAAGTTTAGAGTAGAATTTTAACTAAAGAAATTTAACGAATTTCATAACATCTCACTGCTAATAGTTTCATCACATATGTGAGGCGAAAACACGACCAATCGATAACTATGATCACCGACAGGAAACATTACTTAATGTATGTAAATATGGAAATGCACTAACAGTGTAAATAATATTGTCAGTAGTTAAATAACGCTGTTTTAGAAGTTTAAAGCGAACCTAATAAAGGCATACTTCATAACCAACAAACTTGAAACAGATATTTTTCAGCCACATGCAGCAAATTAGTGAACAAGTTGAGTGCAAATAAGTTCTTTTTTACTCAAATATACTGAAAATTTGTCAAAGCACTACAAACCTGAAAATTACAATAAAATACATTTCGTCTTTAAATATAAGATTAGCACAGAATTAGCACTACTTCAAAAACATGAAGTATACATTAAGAAATGGACTAATCGGTAAAGTAAATAAATACAGTATTAATTCACATCAATGAGGAATATCGTCTTTCAGAAACTTCTTGCAATTTAACCGATACTCTAAGCAAATACGATAATACTGACAAAGCTCAAACAGTATCACAAGAAATTGAGATATACATATGATATTTTTGAAGCTTGAAAAATTACACTTTTCGTGTGGAAAAATTGGCTGGCATAAATATTACGCACCTTCCAAAGCATGTAAAATATAAACAGAACATATGAAAACTAAAGTAATTTCTCCCGATTAATGACATTTCGAGCAACAAAAAAAAAAAAAACCAACTCAATTAAAAGTAACGTAAGTTAAAAAAAAACATATGTAGTACGTCATACGTAATAAGGCAACAAAGGAAACGAAATGAAATCCACATACTTCATACTACTTAAATGATCAATTTATGGGAAAAAAAAAAAAGAAAAAACTACACTGAACACAAGACAAAATAATATATCAAAGACAAAACTATACTGACCACAACGTAAAATACAAGGTAAAATAATAAGGCTCTAAACATCAAAATTATAGTGACAGAACCATCTAATGATAACAAGTTCTGAAAAAATATATACCCTAAATGTCTACTAGTTCCTACTAAAACATCGCTTTCAACTCTAACTGTAGCGTATTATAGGAAATAATCAAGATTTTACCATGAATGACGGTATAAAATGATGATAATCCACATATAGTAGTGACGAAATGTAATTATATTCACTTTATCTTATTTTTTTAATTTCAATTTAACCGCCTTATTATTGTCGGGATATTTCTGGAGTACATTCTATTTATTATTAAAAATCGATTACGCAATTTAATCTGGAATGAGGCTTTTTTTTCTTCCCTCAACACTCAGTGTACGACCAGATGGTGGTAACGGCATTGCATAACAACTATCAAGATACATCTGAGATATTTCCTCTACCAGATCTGGTACAGCAGATACCATACCTAGAAAAATAATCAGTGAATAAAATGAAATAAAAGCCAAAAAAAATATAGTGTTAGAAATAACTCAACACTATCTCTCCTAAAATATTAAAGATGATCTTTTACTTAAAGATCATCAATCACCTCAAAGGTTAAAATAAATTTCTTGAAATAAAGCTTGACCGTAGATCGCAGCGGTTCTTGACTGATGGCTGAATTCAGGATTTGACACCAGATCTTCGCACGCCATATTCAATTCACGAAGAAAATTTTCCACAACACCTGATTTCGTGTGATTCAATGTAACACATATATGAACACTGGAAAAATATGGAAAAATTGCCTAATATTAAAAAAAAAAATAGTTTGCAGTTGTAAAGACTAAAGAACATTTGAACTTACTCTCAGAATTGAATATAATTACTCACGCAGGCGGATTTTGAAGAGTAGACAAGACCCATCCCAGCTTATTCATACGATCTGCCAAGGCATAAACATTGAGACCTCTCGTTGTAAAAGCAACAGTTGTAACATCTGATTCACATAACAGTTGTATGTGCAAACATTTCTCAATGCCTGTTCGTATTTCACGCACTGCATTAATAATTGCCTCCGTTCGTTTTACATAGCTGAAGAACAGGACAGCAAAATTTCCTAATTAAACAATTTTTAAAACTCAGAATCCAAAAATATAGAATCGGAAAAATTTCCAACAAATCCTCAAACTGATGTACTTTCTCCATCAACTGAATTGCTAAACTGACATATATATATATATATATATATTAAAGAAAAATCACATCCATTGACGAGTTAATGAAAACGTGTAACGTAGCAATTATCACCAATAAGATGAAATAAATAGTTAATATAACTGCCTTACCCTCGTCTTCCGTTGTACAATAAAGTAGCCCACGTTAAAGCTATTGCACATCCGTCTCTGTTACCAGCTAACGTGGGTGTCATATATATACCACCAGGCCATTCACTGTCACAAAAGTATTGGTAATGAAGCAAGGATGAGTCGCGATACAGTATTAACGATGTTCCTAATAGAAACAACTTTTGTGATGTTCTAAATGATGAATGGAAGAATTTATACAAACTTTAAAATGTCGTGAAAAGCAAAAATAAAGAGGAAGTTTAAAATACCATTTGGAGCAAAACCATATTTTTGAATATCACAGGAAATTGATGTAACGCCGGGTACACGAAAATCGAACGACTTAACTGCAAAATCACATCGTTCCATTATTGACAAAATGAAACCACCAAGAGTTGCATCAACATGCAAAGGAATACCATATCGTTGGCTCAACTGGAAATCTCGGAACTATGGAACGGTTAAGCATTTTATATTATGGAGTAAATTAAACAACGGTTCTTTTTGTTCCCATTATTAAAACATTAAGGAATTGAAGTCCATGAGCGATTTGGCACAGCCAGAAAGCGATAGGCATAATTTTGGAAATCAGTATCCAAAACTATTTACTGTTTCACTGCAAAAGCTTCGTTAGGAATGTAGAAAGCACCTCAGAAATCGCTTCTATGTTGTCGATAGTACCGAATGCATAATTCGGAGCTGATGCCACGAGCTACAACAAAATAAATTAGAAACTTAAATAAATGTAAAATAAGCGACATATTTTAAAACTATTCTGTCACTACAGAAAAATCCGTTTATTTGGAAAATTATGAAAAGAGACACACCATACAAGTTTCATTACTGATAGCACGCTTCATTGCACCTACATCAACCCGCTGGTTTTTATCAACGGGAATATGGCGAATACGCATTTGCAATACTTTCGCTGCTTTATCGAATGATGCATGAGCAGTTGCCGGTACTAACATTTCTGGATGCCTGATTCCACGACTAAACGCGCGATTTCGATAAGCTAAAATATAGAGTAAGATGCAGATAATAGCTAGAATTTGATAATGTACTTTTTTCGTCACAAACTGACTTCTCAGTTAAGTGACATTGACATCTGAAAAAAAAAAAAAAAACAACTGATTGTATTTCTCATCTTCTATGAATTGATATTTACCAAAGAAAAACATTCTTCCATGTTTATAGCAAAAACATTCGTACATTAATACAAAACTGATTTATAAAAAAATAAAAACAGTTACCGAAACATGCCAATATATTGCTTTCTGTATCGTTCGACGTAACGGTTCCACAAGAACCAGGTCCACCATGAAGAAGTGATGCAACAATGCGTACAATTTCTGCTTCCATTTTCCGACAGCCAGGAAAAAGATTAGGATATAGAGAGTCTGAATATACAAACATCTCGAACACCTGCAAAAAAAACTTCAGTAATCTCATTTAAAATAAAAAATTAACAAAGTAATTATACATGCTAACCTTCTGCAGTAATGCTCGGTGCTCTTTATCGACATCAGTAAAGATTACTCCGGAAACGTGACCTTCGTGAAAAGAAAATTCACTCATTGTTTTATATAACTCTGCCTCATGAATTATATTATTAGTTGCAAGTCCATGCTCCGGCAAGAACTTGTAGAATTCCTGGAAAATATATCAAACTACATAAACAATATAAAACACTGCCTCAGACTTCATTCCTCATGTTCCTTATGCTATTTCCAGCAAATCAATTAAAAAATTTCATCGTAAAACAATAAAAAAGTCTACACAGCGTAACAGCATAATTTTCGTCAACGCACTTTTCTCTTATCGTACTGATGTATCGTCTCTTCAAGATCTCTTCTTGCTTTTTCCATTTCTTCTTTTATTTGCGTATTTACCCAAGGCATCATCCGAAATGCGGAAAAAATCTAGAAAAATACAAAGTTTGTATAAATATACTTTTATTTGATGGAAACATCAAAACCTTAGGATAATCATTCGAAAAAGTAAACTAATTAGATACAAAGGAAAAAATACCAAAGCACGAATACAGGTGGAAAGAGGACGATTTGCTTTTAACAGTCTCCGTAGCCAGATGAAGAAGCAAACAACGGATAAAGTGTATGAGACGATCTGCCAAGGTTCCAGATCTATACATGAACGGTTGAATCCAACACGACCATCATCCACAACTTGCGCAACTAAACGCCAGGTGTATCCACCATTCAGTGTCCACCATTCACTCATTTATAGTTCGATAGCGAAAATATCGGAAATGTACGAAAATTTTACAAATCTAGAAAACTAATAGATCAAATGATCATCTGAATTTCAATAACCCTGAATAAAAACCATTATATTACGTCATGTGACGTAATTGTCTTGATGTCACTGTCTTGATAAAACAAATTTTTTTTTTCTGTAAAGTGTAATGTTGTATCACTAAAAATTCTACACCTCACTTTATTAGGAATCACCAGACAAAATTTTATTACTGCAGCTCCTACTTACACTGATACTAGGTATACGAGATATGGAAAAAGAAATAAGATATATTCAAGCGGTAACCTTAACATTCCAATTCTTGGTAAATCTATAATGAGAAGAACTACTTTTAATGCATCAAAATGAAAAGTAATTTTATTATCTCTATGTCAATCAACTTTTCTTTTTCCTTTCTAACACAGTATGTATAAAATCTGCTGATTAAGATCTAAATCATTCTCAAGTATCAACGTTAATATGAGTATGTTATAAATTGTAAGAAGAAAGAGAAGTGGCAAAATATGAGAGCAGGAAGAGAGAACTACCTGAGCTCACATCACCACCATTACAATCTCGTAATGACACCCATACCAGCCCTTTGCATCGCTGCTATTTCACCACAGTCATTTCCGGCGCCGCCAAATACCTGATTGCTGACAAATCTGTGCGGAGATCTGAATATGGTCGTATGGAGGTATTTGACCTGTGAGATTTCTTGTCTGTAATCCTGAGATTTACTAGATATAAATGAGAAAGAATTGCTGACCGGTTTGCCAATAAGAGAACAGCTTTCAAATAATTGGAAAATATAAAACGGAAATCAGAAGTTGATATACTGACATATTTTATGCTTGAAAATTCTGAATTGGAAAACAAACTTTTAACCTCATTCCGGATTTCCCGCCAATATTCGAAGAAGGAAAAAGTACCAGTGATTCAATCTTTTTCGGTACAATTTTAGGATGGTAGAGATGCATAATTAATCAATTGTGAGAGTTTTTAGTTGTTAACTAACTGGTAACTACTAATCCACATAATCTGCAGTGTTCATTGTAAATTCCTCTACCGAATTTAGATATGATAATCTTATGTCGTATTTGAAGGAAAAAGAGTGTTAGCGTATCGCGGTTTTAGAACAACCGAAAAGTTTCTTAGGACTTGAAATCTTTGTCATGGAGGATAATCTATTACCTTACATGAATTTAGCAAATTTTTGTAAATTTCAGCAAAATTTATCTAATACATGCATTAGTCGTATTATAATTTGAACTAATTATCAATCGTGTTGCAAACAGACATTCTGTTACTAGTCGGTTTATTATTTTTTATCGTAGACATCATTTTCTATTCAAATCCAAAATTGACAAAACATGAAGTGCTGATTGCTTGGCATTACTTTCCACTACAAAAGATGAATGCAGAAATTGTGAAGTCAAGGTTACTTAACAAAGCAATATGAATCTTCTTTCATGCAGTTTTTTTCTTCCAATTCATATAGAAAGGATCTGTCCGTTAATCGGTCACTCCCTCTCCCATAGCATCGTATGAAGAAGGTGTAGGTGTCGCATGGTAAATGTCACAGGAATCTATCCGAAGACCCTACATGAAAATTGTTCGTGTTAGCGGGAGTCGTATGTTTAGTTGTAGGTTATATTTCTATTCGATGAGATTGTAGTAAGTTGTAGGGAAATGTGTTGGACTGGGAAATTTTTCCTTTTTTTTTTTGTAATTACTGACATAGCTTTGTGTTGTAAAGAATATTGAACGCACTTGACAACTTCAGTTTCATCTGGATTATTACATTTGTCATTTAATTTTATTAGGTTGGATTTGCCGAACGATTAGCATTTATTCTCGTATACTTTCATTTAATGATTTCTGTGAATTTTCTAATATTGTAAGTCGAACATTCTATAATATTGCTTGCTTCACTAAAGGATCGTTATCCAGACTTTGTCTTCCCATGTTTCGGTACTGATATTGTGAAGAATTTTATGTAGTTTTTAATTCAGATACAAGGTATGGAATTATATGGACAGCCTGCCGGCGACGCTTTGGAAGATGCTGCAAGCTATGTACAACGGTCAATTCTAAAAATCAGTGAAGATTCTGATTTGTACTATAAATTAAAGTACGACCCGTACCAACCAGGTCAATTTACTTTGTTCGTATCAGTTAGATGAATTATACATTATTGTTTGATGTAGTGAAGTTGTCTTTGACAGTTCTTTATCTTCTGGGACATTGGAGTCAAGTAAGTAAAAAATTTTGTTATAGACAGAGTATCAATATCTGGTCTTGCTACGGGAGATTATCAACCACTGAATGACCTGGAGATACCGGAATTTGTTCATAGTCATTTGAAGCCAATTCCACAGGAACTGAAAGATCAACTTAGCAGTAAGTTTGCTTCTGAAGTACTCGATTTAATTTCTTTTGGTTAGTATATTTGTTCCTTGTCATCTATTTGATCACACTGACGAATTTTATAGGTACACAAAGCATCTGCACAATGGGTATATTACCCGAAATTGGACGTGCTTATATGACAATTGATGCCGATCTGTATGTTTGGAATTATGAAGATAGGTGGGTTACTCTTTTGTTTTTTTTTTTTTTTCTGAAGTAATCCTGTTCTCAGGTATCGGAGATATAAGACAAAATTTCACAAGATTGCTGAGCGGGATTGGAGCGACGAGTTTCTTTTTTTCAATTATAAAGAGGACTTGATACATTTCATTTATTTACATTATTAAAAGGAATTGTTAGAATTTATTTATTTTTAGTTCGGATTTAGCTTACTTCGATGGGATACCTAATACAATTACTAAAGTGGCAATTGCGAAACCGAAAGCTGGAGTGTTCCAGGTAATTTACTGCAACAGAAACAGATGTTTATTGATATTCGAATTAGGAGATTCCGAGACGTTATCTATATCGTCCACTTAAACTTCATCTGATGTTGTTCCGATCAATTTTTTTTTATCTCCCATTAAATATATCCTAATATCTCGTAATTCTCTAATAATTCCAGAAACACATTCATTGCTTGGTTATTGTTGCGACAACAAAAGAAATTGTATTATTGGCAGCAAGCTTCACAAATAATAATAGAACAGTGACAGATGTATCCTCTCTGCCAGACGATTTTAGGCAAGCTGATATGTATCTCCTTCCAGATGCTCTTTTCAAGGTCTTTCTTCTTTTTTTTTTTCCTTTTTTTATTGTATGTAATTGCAGCGTACTTAGTCTGTTGTTCATATTGCTCCTTCATAATATTGTATTATATTGCTTTTATTATTTCCACCTTGAATGTGCTTTCTTCAAAGGAAAATGACCTTTGTAAGAGTTTTATCCGTTTCTGAGCAAAATTTTGTATTTATAGTATTTGAAATAATAGCACAAAGATTGAATAATTGCATTCCTATTTTACTTTAATTTTATTTCTTTTATAGCTAAAGTAAAAGTTACAGGTTTGAAAGTTGCAGGTTCCAATTGATGACACAACTATATCGGATATAATTGCAACATCAAACGGCCGTATTTTTTTCACAGAAGAGGAAGTTTTGTGTGAGCTTGATTATCAGGTCGTCCACAATTTTCAGATATCATATTTTACATATTCTCACTTTTCTTTACTTAAGTTTCGAGATGGGTACACATAATATTTTCCTTTTAAGGTTATATATATATATATATATATATTTTTTTTTCCCCTTATTTACTTCCTCCTTTACTTTGGTTAATAAAGATGAAAAAAACTTCTGTTCTCTCCTCTGGAAACTTTGCCCTTCCTTTTTTCAGGATAAAGGTTGGTTCAGTCGTCGTTGTCGTAAGATAAATCATTCCAAAAGTTTTATTAGTTATTTTTTGCCTTCCGTGTCTTTGATCACAGGGAAAGAAGGTAATATATTTTCTTTTTTAGTTGGTCATTGCATATTTTTTGGAACTTGATTTTTGTAAAGATATTAAGAAACTATGGAGGGGATAGAGTTTCTTGGTAATTTCTGTTGCATTTCTAATAACGTAAATATTTTAGAGCGATTGGTACGATTATGCTTGGATGACGCTAGGCATATTTTATACAGTCTTTCTGAAAATGGTTCCATACAGGTTTACGATTTGCATGCTGACGGAAATTCAGTAGTTAAGGTGGCATCACTCAGCTACGGGCAAATTCAGGTTCAGTTTACATAATTTTTCATTACCTCATTAGCCGTGTTTCTTTTTCTTTTTGGAAATGCACCCGATAACTGTGCATTGAATGTTTTTGAATGTGAAACATTTAGATAGTATAATCATAGTTAGCCTAATTAACTAAAAGTTTGATAGTTGACGATGCAAAATATATTTATCATGTTGTTTCTGACGTGCAATCATGTTATCTTTCTTGATGCATTGTTTTGAATAACTAAGCATTTTATGATCTGACTGGGCAGCGCATTTTAGTTATAAAATGATCTAAATCTAGGAGCTTGCTGCAGCAGAATGCCGATCCGTGGATGCTTCTTTTTTCAACGACATTGTGGGTATTAATCCAATCTCTTATACGCAATCTCGCTATTTGCATCTTGTAAGTTGTGAAATCATTGTGCTATCAGAACTTCTATAATAATGTGGGAAATTCTAAGTCTCGTTCCATTGCTTCGAAATAGGTTGGCATATTGTTGAGTTTGCTTTTTCGAAGTTGGATGAAAAAAGATACTTCTCTATGTTTTTTGCTATTTCACAAAACTGGTGTGTTTCTTGGAGCCAAACACCTCAACTTTTTATGCCTAGCTACTTGTTAAACATTCATTTCTCATTCAAATTCTATTTCATATTCAGATTGCAACTACAAGAAAAGGTGTTCGTTTATTCTTTAGCTGTTTTCCACCAGCACCAAAAAATGTTTATCAGGTGGCTTCGAAATCATCCTTGATGAATTGGATGGTATGCCTTTTCTTTATCTTATTTAATAATAAATAAATAAATAATAGGATTCAAATTTATGAAAACTTATATTTGATTTAGAAAGAAAAAATAGAAAGGAGTAGTAGAATATGTTACGCATTTGAATGACATAAATCAAAATTTCAGGAAGGCATGAGACCTAGTTGCTTGCGCTTGAAACATGTCCGTTTACCTCCAGGGTACGGTATTTCGCCAGTTTCCTTCCACCCGCTCTCTATTTACGATACTTTTTATTCTCATGGTATATATTTTTAAATTTCGATTCTTACTAATTTGTACAGTAGAGTTGTTCCACTTACATATATTAAAAACTTAGCTGCTGGATATTTCGTTTTTATTGATATTAGTAGGAGACGAATATGACACTCATCCGAAAAATAAAGAAAAAAAAAGGGAAAACTTCTAAATAAATGAGATTTTTTAAATTGAGAAAAAAAAGAGAGACCAGTGAATATTGTACTTTTAAATATTGCAAATCTTTTGCCCATTCTATAATTTTCATAGAAATTGCTATAATGGCTGGCGAAGCTGGTATCGATATTTCCAATCTCTCGATTTTTTGTTCATCAAACTTTCCAGCTTCTGAATGTCTTACAGAGAATGTGGTTAATTCTTTCTTTTTTTTTTCTTTTTGTATCAGTGCTAGTTGTTCCAGCTATTTCCCGTTTCACTCCAAAAGCATTTGCAGCAGATCTGCTGTGTATATTTGTAATTGGATTTTTTCCTGAAAACTTCATGACTCTGGTTAGCGTACAAATCTTTTTTTTTTCTTTTTTTTTTGCTTAATATAGGTTTGCGGTTGAGGTAGATTACCTTTTGTTGTAGTATAATCATATTCTTGAGTTCAGATGGATTTGTCACTGACCTGTTACATAATAACATCTTGCAAATATATTTCAGACACAGCTACGCCTTAGAAGCTTGGTAATGACGATAACAAAAGCTGTTTCCGGAGCACCTTTTTCTGTATGTTTTTTTTTGCGCTCTTTTATTGGTCGAAATTTTTTTCCGACACCATGTCTAC